TAGCCCAACATTAGCCACCTTTAGCTTAGCAGTGGTGACGTGAAGTCATGTGACCGTGCTGTAGTTCCTTTATAGCCCAACATTAGCCACCTTTAGCTTAGCGGTGGTGACGTGAAGTCATGTGAACCGTGCTGTAGTTCCTTTATAGCCCAACCATTAGCCGCACTTTAGCTTAGCGGTGGTGACGTGAAGTCATGTGACCGTGCTGTAGTTCCTTTATAGCCCAACATTAGCCACCTTTAGCTTAGCGGTGGTGACGTGAAGTCATGTGACCGTGCTGTAGTTTCCTTTATAGCCCAACATTAGCCGCCTTTAGCTTAGCGGTGGTGACGTGAAGTCATGTGACCGTGCTGTAGTTCCTTTATAGCCCAACATTAGCCACCTTTAGCTTAGCGGTGGTGACGTGAAGTCATGTGACCGTGCTGTAGTTCCTTTATAGCCCAACATTAGCCTCCTTTAGCTTAGCAGTGGTGACGTGAAGTCATGTGACCGTGCTGTAGTTCCTTTATAGCCCAACATTAGCCACCTTTAGCTTAGCAGTGGTGACGTGAAGTCATGTGACCGTGCTGTAGTCCTTTATAGCCCAACATTAGCCTCCTTTAGCTTAGCAGTGGTGACGTGAAGTCATGTGACCGTGCTGTAGTTCCTTTATAGCCCAACATTAGCCGCCTTTAGCTTAGCAGTGGTGACGTGAAGTCATGTGACCGTGCTGTAGTTCCTTATAGCCCAACATTAGCCGCCTTTAGCTTAGCAGTGGTGACGTGAAGTCATGTGACCGTGCTGTAGTTCCTTTATAGCCCAACATTAGCCTCCTTTAGCTTAGCAGTGGTGACGTGAAGTCATGTGACCGTGCTGTAGTTCCTTTATAGCCCAACATTAGCCGCCTTTAGCTTAGCAGTGGTGACTGGCCCTAGGCTCTGGAACACTCTGCCCCTCCATGTGAGGTCGACCCAGACCCTAGGGGGTTTTAAATCTACACTAAAGACTCACTTCTTCTCTCTGGCCTTCTAGCCTTTTCTTATCAAGCTCCACTTTTGTGTCAGCAGCAGCTGAGCGTCTGATAGGATGCAGAACATCCTGCCCCACGAAGCAGGCTCCGCCCTCCGGCCCACCGACAGCCAATGGATGGGGCTGCTCTTCAGCTCTGTGACATCATCACAACAACACTGTGACATCATCACAACAACACTGTGACATCATCACAATAACACTGTGACACAGAGAGAGATGAGAGGATGTGATTGTCCGGCAGTGGCTCAGTCAGTAGGGGCTTGGACTGGGAGCCGTAGGGTCGCTGGTTCAAGTCCCCGACCAGACCTAAATATGGAGTGTGGACTTCTACTTGGAGAGGTCCCAGTTCACCTCCTGCCCTGCCGTGGTGCCCTTGAGCAAGGCACCGGACACCCCCCTTCCCCCCCACTCCCATTGCTCCCCGGGCGCTGTACAATAGCTGCCCACTGCTCCTAGTACTAGACTCCTTGTACTAGGATGGGTTAAAAGCAGAGGCCAAATTTCACTGTGTGTGCTGTGTGCTCTGCATGTGTGACCATTAAAGAGGGTTTCATCCCTCCCTATTCTTCTATTCTATCCAGCTGTCATTCATCAACTCACCAATCACGTCCATCCAGCCCATCTGCTGACACCTGGACAGGTGCTTCACCAGATCCTCCATCTTTACCTGTCTGTCTCTCTGACCTCCTGTCTCTCTGACCTCCTGTCTCTCTGTCTGTCTCTCTGACCTCCTGTCTCTCTGTCTGTCTCTCTCTGACTTCCTGTCTGTATGTCTGTCTCTCTGACTTCCTCTCTGTCTCTCTGTCTGTCTGTCTCTCTGACTTCCTGTCTGTATGTCTGTCTCTCTGACTTCCTCTCTGTCTCTCTGTCTGTCTCTCTCTCTGACTTCCTGTCTGTCTGTCTGTCTGTCTCTCTCTCTGACTTCCTGTCTGTCTCTCTGACTTCCTCTCTGTCTGTCTGTCTGTCTCTCTGTCTGTCTCTCTCTCTGACTTCCTGTCTGTCTCACTGCAGGAACCTGTTCGTCTCTTCAGGAGTTTTTGTCTCTTGCAGGTATTTTAACACTTTAATGCTATTAACAGATTACTCTCTCTCTCTCTCTCTCTCTCTCTCTCTCTCTCTCTCTCTCTCTCTCTCTTCTCTCTCTCTCTCTCTCTCTCTCTCTCTCTCTCTCTCTCTCTCTCTCTCTCTACTGTACAGGTTTTCAAAGTGTGTTTTCCAAATGTCCCCATGTTGAATAGCCAGTTCTCAGTGGCGGCTGGTGGAAAATATTTTAGGTGGGGCTGTGGAAATGGTGATCAAACAATACTAGGAGGGTCCGGGGGGATGCTCCCCCGGTACATTTTTTTGAGAAAAGACCCCCTAAATGATGACTTCTGGTGATGTTAGAGGGGGGGGGGGGGGGGGGGGGGGGGGGGGAGACTTCTGTTGAGAAGACTGATCAATACCTCCATAACTTCAGTGTGGTTAGCTATGAATCTTCCAAAACTTCCAAGCACCTTGTCCTGGACATAGTTTCTACAGCATAAACTGTGCTAACAAGCTGAGATTCCACAGATTCTAGAAATATAAGTATCATCACTGAGCGATCAGAACTCGCGACAGGGGAAGCAAATACAGACATCACACGACGTAGCTTTAGGTAGCAAAACACGGAGATATGCTCACCTTTTGCAGAATAACAATTCTGATCAAAAACGAGAAAAACGCAGCTGAAGGTTAATCCATAGGTTAATCCAATGTGTCTGTCACTTTGAAAAAATGATTGATGATCCATAATTCAATTTTTATGTCAAAAACTGAGTTTTCATTAGCTGCTAATGGTAGCTTCCAGAGTGTATGACAGCTTCCTGTTTTGTCTCCTTGGATACGAGTCCAAACAACTCACAGACTGCACCGGGCGCTCACGTAGGAGCCCTGTGACCATCAGATTTGACGACGCTGATTGGCTGAAATTATGTTTCGGCGGCATAGTTTAAAGATAGCAACAGTTGGCTTCTGCTGCACTTGCTGCCCTCTCGTCTGGGCGCTGTGCATAGCGCCCAGACGAGAGGGAGGGTAATGATACACGGGCAAGGCCAGGCAGGAAACATGTGACTTATCAGTAACTTTAGACATCGTAACACCATTTTAAACGAGATTTTATTGTAGATTATACATTTTACTGATACCAATTATATAATATTTACCTTGTTTATTAAAAATAAAAATAAAAATAAAAAATATATTTTTTAAATATATATTTTTTATTTTTTTATTTTTAATGTGGGAAGAGGGGGGGCGGCGCCCCTAGCGCCCCTATGGGCCGGCCGCCACTGCCAGTTCTTCCTTGTGTGGTTTGCTGAAAGAGTGCCATCTCTTCCAGAAATGATTTGAGTCATTGGACTCTTCAATGATTTCAAGTTGGTGCTGCGCATGTTGCTCCCTTTTAGTTCTGAGTGTTCTTCTGTATAGTTTCAGTGTTTCCCAATATTGGAGGCGAAGCTCAGGATGGTCAGGTGGTCTGTGTTTTTGATTTGATAAACTTCTGAGGGCCTGATACAGCCTGATTCAGGCCATCATTACTGTGGGGATACGGGGTGGGCTGTTAATGTGGGGTGGGCTGTTAATGTGGGGTGGGCTGTTAATGTGGGGTGGGCTGTTAATGTGGGGTGGGCTGTTAATTTTTTTTTGTGTGTCTGTTTTTTTAATTCATTATCTACTTTAAAGGGGACCTATCATTCAAGATGCACTTGTGTACGTCTTTTCTACATGAATATGTGTCCCCGGTGTTCCAGGGAACTCACCAAGTGTCAGAAAACACAACCCTCTCTATTTTCCTCCATACCCAAATCTCTAAAAAAGGGGCTGCAACGGATCTGATAAAAACTGATCCAGATTTGAACACTGTCCTGACGTCAGGACGGTGGCGCTACGGCTATTGGGCCAACTCCACCAATCAGGAGGAGACAGCCACGGCCATTGCCGTTTGAAAGCGCTGGAGACGCTGTAGTACATATGCCAGGCCTGTAGGTGGTGCTGTTCTCACTGAATCAGCCCTTGCAAAAACAGAGCTAACATTTTTCAAATTGAGCAAAATGAGGCATGGCTAAAATGCATGATCTGTTTGGTATTTTGAAAAAAAAAAGTATAAATATGCCTTATATAGGTATGGTCCTACACTATATTATTCAAATATAGCATGATAGGTCCACTTTAAGTTCATTTTAAAATATTTTGTTATTATTATTTATATCTTTGTTTATGTTTAGAATCATGTTTTATATTTATCGTGTGTATTATATTATATATTAACTCTATAAACAAAGTCGTTTAGCCTGTAGAGCAGGGGCGCCCAGTCGATCGAGACGTGTCTAAAAATAGAACAACAATATTCTGTTTTATCGTTAATGTCCTATAACTTAATCTTCCTGTGCCAGAATAATGCACTTGAACGCATCAAAGCGTTGTGATTGGTCGGCGTGACCCCATGTGTCGGGGCGTGGCTGCTGGGCACTAGTTAGCTGACGTTGTCAATAGAGGCTTCTCAATACTCTAATTTCCCCTCCTCGACTCCTCGACTCCTCGACTCCTATCCTCGAGACTTAGGGTGTTTCTCAATGTCGAGTAAAGCTGCTTCAGAGCCACTATTTCAAGCATACTACGTCATCGAGTGCCGCCGAAGTACTGTTCCAATCTCCAGCATACTTGGAAATCTACCGAGCCCAGCGTACTCCGTTTGGAGAAATATCGAGGCTGCACATGAGTAGACTCCACGGTCTTAAAATCCCCACAATGCTTTGCGCACGGACCAATTTCCCCAAATCTGTGGTGGAAGATGTAAGGAGGCGGGGCCTCTCATATGACGCACACCTGCACACTTGCTAGCCTGTTCCACTCTTTGTTTTCTGAATGTCAGGAAGTATTCTTGACTCGCTTCTGAAGCAAGATGCTCGGCAGACATGTGCTACCAAGCAAGCGTACTCTACATTGAGAAACACACACACAGGAAGTCAAAGGTAAAACATTTTTTTGTTTTATTCAGAGAGCTGGCAGTTGATTGGTCAGTTTAACGGAACAAAAGGCATACAAACAGTCACATGATCAAAACAACCGTCCAATGGGAGGGGAGCGTGGTTACCATGGCAGCTAGGTTTAAAGTGACAGAGTGACATTTTAACGTCTCCGAGACTGTTAGCACTGTTAGCATTCCTCATTCAAACCAATGGGCTGTGTTAGCCTGAAGCTAACCTCAATGATTATACACTTTGATGTTTGCATAGATAAGAGCGGAACAGGAGCAGTGCACTCTGGGTAATCTGGGGGTTAACAGAAAGTTCAAGAGCTAAATATCTCACCTGATGTTTACCTGCACAGGTAGAGCAGTGAGACAGGTGAGGCTGTTAGACAGCTGGGCGGGGGGGGGGGGGGTCTGACTGTTTAACATGTCAGGAAACAACACAAACTGATTCAGGCATACCATAACACGAACACTCATATAACACTACTGACCGTGTGTGTGTGTGTGTGTGTGTGTGTGTGTGTGTATGTGAGTGTGTGTGTATGTGAGTGTGTGTGTATGTGAGTGTGTGTGTGTGTGTGAGAGTGTGTTTGAGTGAGTGTGTGTGTGTTCTTTGGCTGCATTTAAACTGAGTAACACTGAAGCATTAATAATAACATGTCACACAGTGTGTAGATATCTGTGTGTATATCACATATATATGTTAGCATAGCATCATGTTTCTGCACAGGTGAGGATAAGATGAACCAATAGGGGAGCTGAACAGTAGCTCACATTATATCACATGATATCTGCACAGGGGGAAGCTGGTCATGTGATATAATGTGACTGTAACACAGTCACATTATATCACATGATGTTACAGTAACGTGCCCTCCCACTGCAGCAGGTCATGTGACGCCCTAATAAGGCGTGGTTCCCTCCCACTGCAGCAGGTCATGTGACGCCCTAATAAGGCGTGGTTCCCTCCCACTGCAGCAGGTCATGTGACGCCCTAATAAGGCGTGGTTCCCTCCCACTGCAGCAGGTCATGTGACGCCCTAATAAGGCGTGGTTCCCTCCCACTGCAGCAGGTACTGGGTCTGCCCCCCCGCAGTGACCCGGCGGGCCAGCACCTGGTACCGCTCGCCGCTGCTCAGCCGCCCCGCCCCCCCGAAGTACGAGGAGATGGAGGAGTGCAGGGGGGGGCAGTCGGACAGGAAGTGGGCGGCGGCTTCCTGTTCCTCCAGCAGCTCGGGAGGCTCCTCCCCCGCTTCGCTGCGATTGGCCCACTGGCTGTAGCTGTTGCTAGGCAGCTTCCTCTTTCTGCTGCCCAGTCCCCCTCTGAGGACACACAAAGGTCAAAGGTCAGTTAGTCCCTTAGTGAGTCAGATAGTCCCTTAGTGATAGTCCCTTAGTGACTCAGTTAGTGAGTCAGTTAGTCCCTTAGTAAGTGAGTCCCTTAGTGAGTCAGTGAGTCCCTTAGTGAGTCAGTGAGTCCCTTAGTGAGTCAGTGAGTCCCTTAGTGACTCAGTTAGTGAGTCAGTTAGTCCCTTAGTCAGTGAGTCCCTTAGTGAGTCAGTGAGTCCCTTAGTGAGTCAGTGAGTCCCTTAGTGAGTCAGTGAGTCCCTTAGTGAGTCAGTGAGTCCCTTAGTGACTCAGTTAGTGAGTCAGTTAGTCCCTTAGTAAGTGAGTCCCTTAGTGAGTCAGTGAGTCCCTTAGTGAGTCAGTGAGTCCCTTAGTGACTCAGTTAGTGAGTCAGTTAGTCCCTTAGTCAGTGAGTCCCTTAGTGAGTCAGTGAGTCCCTTAGTGAGTCAGTGAGTCCCTTAGTGAGTCAGTGAGTCCCTTAGTGAGTCAGTGAGTCCCTTAGTGACTCAGTTAGTGAGTCAGTTAGTCCCTTAGTGAGTCAGTGAGTCCCTTAGTGAGTCAGTGAGTCCCTTAGTGAGTCAGTGAGTCCCTTAGTGAGTCAGTGAGTCCCTTAGTGACTCAGTTAGTGAGTCAGTTAGTCCCTTAGTAAGTGAGTCCCTTAGTGAGTCAGTGAGTCCCTTAGTGAGTCAGTGAGTCCCTTAGTGAGTCAGTGAGTCCCTTAGTGAGTCAGTGAGTCCCTTAGTGAGTCAGTGAGTCCCTTAGTGAGTAAGTGAGTCCCTTAGTGACTCAGTTAGTGAGTCAGTTAGTCCCTTAGTAAGTGAGTCCCTTAGTGAGTCAGTGAGTCCCTTAGTGACTCAGTTAGTGAGTCAGTTAGTCCCTTAGTAAGTGAGTCCCTTAGTGAGTCAGTGAGTCCCTTAGTGAGTCAGTGAGTCCCTTAGTGAGTCCCTTAGTGAGTCAGTGAGTCCCTTAGTGAGTCAGTTAGTCCCTTAGTAAGTGAGTCCCTTAGTGAGTCAGTGAGTCCCTTAGTGAGTCAGTGAGTCCCTTAGTGAGTCAGTGAGTCCCTTAGTGAGTCCCTTAGTGAGTCAGTTAGTCCCTTAGTGAGTGAGTCCCTTAGTGACTCAGTTAGTGAGTCAGTTTGTCCCTTAGTGAGTCAGTTAGTCCCTTAGTGACTCAGTTAGTGAGTCAGTGATTCCCTTAGTGACTCAGGTAGTCCCTTAGTGAGTCAGTGAGTTCCTCAGTGACTCAGTGAGTCAGATAGTCCCTTAGTGACTCAGGTAGTCCCTTAGTGAGTCAGTGAGTCCCTTAGTGACTCAGTTAGTGAGTCAGTTAGTCCCTTAGTGAGTGAGTCCCTTAGTGAGTCCTTGGTGAGTCAGTGAGTCCCTTAGTGAGTCAGTGAGTCCCTTAGTGACTCAGTTAGTGAGTCAGTGAGTCCCTTAGTGAGTCAGTGAGTCCCTTAGTGAGTCAGTGAGTCCCTTAGTGAGTCAGTGAGTCCCTTAGTGACTCAGTTAGTGAGTCAGTTAGTCCCTTAGTAAGTGAGTCCCTTAGTGAGTCAGTGAGTCCCTTAGTGAGTCAGTGAGTCCCTTAGTGAGTCAGTGAGTCCCTTAGTGAGTCAGTTAGTCCCTTAGTGAGTCAGTTAGTGAGTCAGTGAGTCCCTTAGTGAGTCAGATAGTCCCTTAGTGAGTCAGTGAGTTCCTTAGTGACTCAGTGAGTCAGGTAGTCCCTTAGTGAGTCAGTGAGTTCCTTAGTGAGTCAGTTAGTCCCTTAGTGACTCAGGTAGTCCCTTAGTGAGTCAGGTAGTCCCTTAGTGAGTCAGTGAGTTCCTTAGTGACTCAGTGAGTCCCTTAGTGAGTCAGATAGTCCCTTAGTGAGTCAGTGAGTTCCTTAGTGACTCAGTGAGTCAGGTAGTCCCTTAGTAACTCAGGTAGTCCCTTAGTGACTCAGGTAGTCCCTTAGTGACTCAGGTAGTCCCTTAGTGAGTCAGTGAGTTCCTTAGTGACTCAGTGAGTCAGGTAGTCCCTTAGTAAGTGAGTCCCTTAGTGAGTCAGTGAGTCCCTTAGTGAGTCAGTGAGTCCCTTAGTGAGTCAGGTAGTCCCTTAGTGACTCAGGTAGTCAGGTAGTCCCTTAGTGACTCAGTGAGTCAGTGAGTCCCTTAGTCAGTGAATCAGTGAGTTACCTGATCTGAGAGCAGCTGCTGGTAGCAGAGCCGGAGGTGGAGTCCTGGTCGATACTGACCGCTGTACTGGAGCTGCTGGGAGACATCAGGAGACATGGGTATTATTAATATAGAGCTGTAGATATAGAGCTGTAGATTGTCTCTATGTATTAATATAGAGCAGTAGATTGTCTCTATGTATTAATATAGAGCTGTAGATTGTCTCTATGTATTAATATAGAGCAGTAGATTGTCTCTATGTATTAATATAGAGCTGTAGATTGTCTCTATGTATTAATATAGAGCTGTAGATTGTCTCTATGTATTAATATAGAGCTGTAGATTGTCTCTATGTATTAATATAGAGCAGTAGATTGTCTCTATGTATTAATATAGAGCTGTAGATTGTCTCTATGTATTAATATAGAGCTGTAGATTGTCTCTATGTATTAATATAGAGCTGTAGATTGTCTCTATGTATTAATATAGAGCAGTAGATTGTGATGTCTCTATGTATTAATATAGAGCTGTAGATTGTCTCTATGTATTAATATAGAGCTGTAGATTGTCTCTATGTATTAATATAGAGCTGTAGATTGTCTCTATGTATTAATATAGAGCTGTAGATTGTCTCTATGTATTAATATAGAGCTGTAGATTGTCTCTATGTATTAATATAGAGCTGTAGATTGTCTCTATGTATTAATATAGAGCTGTAGATTGTCTCTATGTATTAATATAGAGCAGTAGATTGTCTCTATGTATTAATATAGAGCTGTAGATTGTCTCTATGTATTAATATAGAGCTGTAGATTGTCTCTATGTATTAATATAGAGCTGTAGATTGTCTCTATGTATTAATATAGAGCAGTAGATTGTCTCTATGTATTAATATAGAGCTGTAGATTGTCTCTATGTATTAATATAGAGCTGTAGATTGTCTCTATGTATTAATATAGAGCAGTAGATTGTCTCTATGTATTAATATAGAGCAGTAGATTGTGATGTCTCTATGTATTAATATAGAGCTGTAGATTGTCTCTATGTATTAATATAGAGCTGTAGATTGTCTCTATGTATTAATATAGAGCTGTAGATTGTCTCTATGTATTAATATAGAGCTGTAGATTGTCTCTATGTATTAATATAGAGCTGTAGATTGTCTCTATGTATTAATATAGAGCTGTAGATTGTCTCTATGTATTAATATAGAGCTGTAGATTGTCTCTATGTATTAATATAGAGCTGTAGATTGTCTCTATGTATTAATATAGAGCTGTAGATTGTCTCTATGTATTAATATAGAGCAGTAGATTGTCTCTATGTATTAATATAGAGCTGTAGATTGTCTCTATGTATTAATATAGAGCTGTAGATTGTCTCTATGTATTAATATAGAGCTGTAGATTGTCTCTATGTATTAATATAGAGCTGTAGATTGTCTCTATGTGTTAATATAGAGCTGTAGATTGTCTCTATGTGTTAATATAGAGCTGTAGATTGTCTCTATGTATTAATATAGAGCAGTAGATTGTCTCTATGTATTAATATAGAGCAGTAGATTGTCTCTATGTATTAATATAGAGCTGTAGATTGTCTCTATGTATTAATATAGAGCAGTAGATTGTCTCTATGTATTAATATAGAGCTGTAGATATAGAGCTGTAGATTGTGATGTCTCTCTGTATTAATGAAGTCTTACCTCTTGAGGCTCTGCAGCTCGTCCAGGGTGAAGTCGAAGATGTTGGCCATGTGATGTGGGGAGGACCAGCTGCAGGAGAGCTCCGTCTGAAACACATGAAGAAGAAAGAACTGACATGAACAGACAATATGAACGCAACCCAGGAAACATGAAGAAGAAACTCACACTTACATTTGGGATGGCGTCCTCCAGCAGCCACTTGGACTTCCTCTTCCTCCTCTCAGCTGAGGCACTGCACACACACACACACACACACACACACACACACACACACACACACACACACACACACACACACACACACACACACACACACACACACACACACACACACACACACACACAACAACACACACACACACACACACACACAACACACACACAACACACACACACACACACACACACACCACACACACAACACACACACACACACACACACACACACACACACACACACCACACACACACACACACACACACACACACACACACACACACACACACACACACACACACACACACACACACACACACACACACACACACACACACCCTGTTGTCATTTCTGAGATAAATACCAGCACATGCCTGTAATGCTGTAGCAGCCTGTGTGAGTGTGTTACTCTCACCTGTACCTGGCCACGCCCCTCCCACCTGCGGTGCTCTGAGCACGCTCAGGAAACAGTTTGGAGGGGGGGGTGGGGGGGACTCTGGTCCTCAGGCGGAAGATGCACTTTCTCTTCTTTATCTCCTTCCCACACAGGAACCTGAACACAACACACAGCATTACACACAGGAACCTGAACACAACACACAGCATTACACACAGGAACCTGAACACAACACACAGCATTACACACAGGAACCTGAACACAACACACAGCATTACACACAGGAACCTGAACACAACACACAGCATTACACACAGGAACCTGAACACAACACACAGCAGTGGCTCAGTCAGTAGGGACTTGGACTGGGAGCCGTAGGGTTGCCGGTTCAAGTCCCCGGACAGACCTAAATATGGAGTGTGGACTGCTACTTGGAGAGGTCCCAGTTCACCTCCTGCCCTGCCGTGGTGCCCTTGAGCAAGGCACTGGACAACCCCCTTCCCCCCTCACTCCCCGGGCGCTGTGCAATTGCTGCCCACTGCTCCTGGTACTGTACGGAGGCTCAGTCACTGGTACACGTTTATTTATAAAGCTTTGTTGGGTGAACTCCCGTATTCTATCTGCTCTCTGATCACACAGAGAGAGCAGCTATTGTCTGAGATCACATGATGTAGTCTTGTTAGATAGAGCAAGGACTGTCTGAGGTGAGACAGCTCTTATGTGCAGCTCCACTTGCTTGGAACAATCTACAGCAAGAATTTAAACTGAGCAATCTCATTCCTCTGCATGTTTTTAAAGCTAGGCTAAATGAAATGCTCGTTGATACTATGGGTATTTGTACATGTCTATAACTATGTAAATGTATCCTGTAAATATAATGTATGATGTCCTTTATTGTTTTATGTTTCATGTGGAACCTATATGCTGAAATGAGACTCCAGGTGCTAGACTCCTGGTGCTAGACTCCTGGTGCTAGACTCCTGGTGCTAGACTCCTGGTGCTAGACTCCTGGTACTAGACTCCTGGTGCTAGACTCCTGGTGCTAGACTCCTGGTGCTAGACTCCTGGTGCTAGACTCCTGGTGCTAGACTCCTGGTGCTAGACTCCCTCCTGGTGCTAGACTCCCTCCTGGTGCTAGACTCCCTCCTGGTGCTAGACTCCTGGTACTAGACTCCTGGTACTAGACTCCTGGTGCTAGACTCCTGGTGCTAGACTCCTGGTACTAGACTCCTGGCGCTAGACTCCTGGCGCTAGACTCCTGGCGCTAGACTCCTGGCGCTAGACTCCTGGCACTAGACTCCTGGTACCAGACTCCTGGAGCTAGACTCCTGGTGCTAGACTCCTGGAGCTAGACTCCTGGAGCTAGACTCCTGGAGCTAGACTCCTGGTGCTAGACTCCTGGTGCTAGACTCCTGCTGCTAGACTCCTGCTGCTAGACTCCTGCTGCTAGACTCCTGGTGCTAGACTCCTGGTACTAGACTCCTGGTACTAGACTCCTGGTACTAGACTCCTAGTACTAGACTCCTGGTGCTAGACTCCTGGTGCTAGACTCCTGGTGCTAGACTCCTGGTGCTAGACTCCTGGCGCTAGACTCCTGGCGCTAGACTCCTGGCGCTAGACTCCTGGCGCTAGACTCCTGGCACTAGACTCCTGGCACTAGACTCCTGGCACTAGACTCCTGGTACCAGACTCCTGGAGCTAGACTCCTGCTGCTAGACTCCTGCTGCTAGACTCCTGCTGCTAGACTCCTGCTGCTAGACTCCTGCTGCTAGACTCCTGGTGCTAGACTCCTGGAGCTAGACTCCTGCTGCTAGACTCCTGCTGCTAGACTCCTGGTGCTAGACTCCTGGTACTAGACTCCTGGTACTAGACTCCTGGTACTAGACTCCTGGTACTAGACTCCTGGTACTAGACTCCTGGTGCTAGACTCCTGGTACTAGACTCCTGCTGCTAGACTCCTGGTGCTAGACTCCTGGTGCTAGACTCCTGGTGCTAGACTCCTGGTGCTAGACTCCTGGTGCTAGACTCCTGGTGCTAGACTCCTGGTGCTAGACTCCTGGCACTAGACTCCTGGCACTAGACTCCTGGTACTAGGCTCCTGGTGCTAGACTCCTGGTACTAGACTCCTGGTACTAGACTCCTGGTACTAGACTCCTGGTGCTAGACTCCTGGTGCTAGACTCCTGGTACTAGACTCCTGGTGCTAGACTCCTGGTGCTAGACTCCTGGTGCTAGACTCCTGGTGCTAGACTCCTGGCACTAGACTCCTGCTGCTAGACTCCTGGTACTAGACTCCTGGTACCAGACTCCTGGAGCTAGACTCCTGCTGCTAGACTCCTGGTGCTAGACTCCTGGTGCTAGACTCCTGGTGCTAGACTCCTGGTACTAGACTCCTGCTGCTAGACTCCTGCTGCTAGACTCCTGCTGCTAGACTCCTGCTGCTAGACTCCTGGTGCTAGACTCCTGGTGCTAGACTCCTGGTGCTAGACTCCTAGTATTGGACTCCTGGTACTGGACTCCTGGTGCTGGACTCCTGGTGCTAGACTCCTGGTGCTAGACTCCTGGTACTAGACTCTTGGTACTAGACTCCTGGTACTAGACTCCTGGTACCAGACTCCTGGTACTAGACTCCTGGTGCTAGACTCCTGGTGCTAGACTCCTGGTGCTAGACTCCTGGTATTAGACTCCTGGTGCTAGACTCCTGGTGCTAGACTCCTGGTGCTAGACTCCTAGTGCTAGAATCCTGGTGCTAGACTCCTGGTACTAGACTCCTGGTTCTAGACTCCTGGTGCTAGACTCCTGGTGCTAGACTCCTGGTGCTAGACTCCTGGTTCTAGACTCCTGGTACTAGACTCTTAGTACTAGACTCCTGGTGCTAGACTCCTGGTGCTAGACTCCTGGTGCTAGACTCCTAGTATTAGACTCCTGGTACTGGACTCCTGGTGCTGGACTCCTGGTTCTAGACTCCTGGTACTAGACTCCTGGTACTAGACTCTTAGTACTAGACTCCTGGTACTATACTCCTGGTACTAGACTCCTGGTACTAGACTCCTGGTACTAGATTCCTGGTTCTAGACTCCTGGTGCTAGACTCCTGGTACTAGATTCCTGGTACTAGACTCCTGGTACTAGACTCCTGGTACTAGACTCCTGGTACTAGACTCCTGGTTCTAGACTCCAGGTGCTAGACTCCTGGTGCTAGACTCCTGGTGCTAGACTCCTGGTACTAGACTCCTGGTACTAGACTCCTGGTACTAGATTCCTGGTACTAGATTCCTGGTTCTAGACTCCTGGTACTAGACTCCTGGTACTAGATTCCTGGTTCTAGACTCCTGGTGCTAGACTCCTGGTGCTAGACTCCTGGTTCTAGACTCCTGGTTCTAGACTCCTGGTACTAGACTCCTGGTGCTAGACTCCTGGTGCTAGACTCCTAGTATTAGACTCCTGGTGCTGGACTCCTGGTGCTGGACTCCTGGTTCTAGACTCCTGGTACTAGACTCCTGGTACTAGACTCTTAGTACTAGACTCCTGGTACTATACTCCTGGTACTAGACTCCTGGTACTAGATTCCTGGTGCTAGACTCCTGGTGCTAGACTCCTGGTACTAGACTCCTGGTACTAGACTCCTGGTACTAGACTCCTGGTGCTAGACTCCTGGTGCTAGACTCCTGGTACTAGACTCTTAGTACTAGACTCCTGGTACTAGACTCCTGGTACTAGACTCCTAGTACTAGACTCCTGGTACTAGACTCCTGGTGCTAGACTCCTGGTGCTAGACTCCTGGTGCTAGACTCCTGGTATTAGACTCCTGGTGCTAGACTCCTGGTGCTAGACTCCTGGTGCTAGACTCCTGGTGCTAGACTCCTGGTGCTAGAATCCTAGTGCTAGACTCCTGGTACTAGACTCCTGGTACTAGATTCCTGGTACTAGATTCCTGGTGCTAGACTCCTGGTGCTAGACTCCTGGTGCTAGACTCCTGGTGCTAGACTCCTGGTGCTAGACTCCTGGTGCTAGACTCCTGGTGCTGGACTCCTGGTGCTGGACTCCTGGTTCTAGACTCCTGGTACTAGACTCCTGGTACTAGACTCTTAGTACTAGACTCCTGGTACTATACTCCTGGTACTAGACTCCTGGTACTAGACTCCTGGTACTAGATTCCTGGTACTAGACTCCTGGTGCTAGACTCCTGGTGCTAGATTCCTGGTGCTAGACTCCTGGTACTAGACTCCTGGTACTAGACTCCTGGTACTAGATTCCTGGTTCTAGACTCCAGGTGCTAGACTCCTGGTGCTAGACTCCTGGTACTAGACTCCTGGTACTAGACTCCTGGTACTAGATTCCTGGTACTAGATTCCTGGTTCTAGACTCCTGGTACTAGACTCCTGGTACTAGATTCCTGGTTCTAGACTCCTGGTGCTAGACTCCTGGTTCTAGACTCCTGGTTCTAGACTCCTGGTACTAGACTCCTGGTGCTAGACTCCTGGTGCTAGACTCCTAGTATTAGACTCCTGGTGCTGGACTCCTGGTGCTGGACTCCTGGTGCTGGACTCCTGGTTCTAGACTCCTGGTACTAGACTCCTGGTACTAGACTCTTAGTACTAGACTCCTGGTACTATACTCCTGGTACTAGACTCCTGGTACTAGACTCCTGGTACTAGATTCCTGGTTCTAGACTCCTGGTGCTAGACTCCTGGTGCTAGACTCCTGGTACTAGACTCCTGGTAGTAGACTCCTGGTACTAGACTCCTGGTACTAGACTCCTGGTTCTAGACTCCTGGTACTAGACTCCTGGTACTAGACTCCTGGTACTAGATTCCTGGTTCTAGATTCCTGGTGCTAGACTCCTGGTACTAGACTCCTGGTACTAGACTCCTGGTACTAGATTCCTGGTTCTAGACTCCTGGTACTAGACTCCTGGTGCTAGACTCCTGGTGCTAGACTCCTGGTGCTAGACTCCTGGTGCTAGACTCCTGGTGCTCGACTCCTGGTTCTCGACTCCTGGTTCTAGACTCCTGGTGCTAGACTCCTGGTACTAGACTCCTGGTACTAGATTCCTGGTTCTAGACTCCTGGTGCTAGACTCCTGGTACTAGACTCCTGGTACTAGACTCCTGGTACTAGATTCCTGGTACTAGACTCCTGGTGCTAGACTCCTGGTACTAGATTCCTGGTGCTAGACTCCTGGTACTAGACTCCTGGTACTAGACTCCTGGTACTAGATTCCTGGTTCTAGACTCCAGGTGCTAGACTCCTGGTGCTAGACTCCTGGTACTAGACTCCTGGTACTAGACTCCTGGTACTAGATTCCTGGTACTAGATTCCTGGTTCTAGACTCCTGGTACTAGACTCCTGGTACTAGATTCCTGGTTCTAGACTCCTGGTGCTAGACTCCTGGTTCTAGACTCCTGGTTCTAGACTCCTGGTTCTAGACTCCTGGTACTAGACTCCTGGTGCTAGACTCCTGGTGCTAGACTCCTAGTATTAGACTCCTGGTGCTGGACTCCTGGTGCTGGACTCCTGGTTCTAGACTCCTGGTTCTAGACTCCTGGTTCTAGACTCCTGGTACTAGACTCTTAGTACTAGACTCCTGGTACTATACTCCTGGTACTAGACTCCTGGTACTAGACTCCTGGTACTAGATTCCTGGTTCTAGACTCCTGGTGCTAGACTCCTGGTGCTAGACTCCTGGTACTAGACTCCTGGTAGTAGACTCCTGGTACTAGACTCCTGGTACTAGACTCCTGGTTCTAGACTCCTGGTACTAGACTCTTGGTACTAGACTCCTGGTACTAGACTCCTGGTACTAGATTCCTGGTTCTAGATTCCTGGTGCTAGACTCCTGGTACTAGACTCCTGGTACTAGACTCCTGGTACTAGATTCCTGGTTCTAGACTCCTGGTACTAGACTCCTGGTGCTAGACTCCTGGTGCTAGACTCCTGGTGCTAGACTCCTGGTGCTCGACTCCTGGTTCTCGACTCCTGGTTCTAGACTCCTGGTGCTAGACTCCTGGTGCTAGACTCCTGGTGCTAGACTCCTGGTGCTAGACTCCTGGTACTAGACTCCTGGTACTAGACTCCTGGTACTAGACTCCTGGTACTAGACTCCTGGTACTAGATTCCTGGTTCTAGACTCCTGGTGCTAGACTCCTGGTACTAGACTCCTGGTACTAGACTCCTGGTACTAGATTCCTGGTACTAGACTCCTGGTGCTAGACTCCTGGTACTAGACTCCTGGTACTAGACTCCTGGTACTAGACTCCTGGTACTAGACTCCTGGTACTAGATTCCTGGTTCTAGACTCCTGGTGCTAGACTCCTGGTACTAGACTCCTGGTACTAGATTCCTGGTTCTAGACTCCTGGTGCTAGACTCCTGGTACTAGACTCCTGGTACTAGACTCCTGGTTCTAGACACCTGGTACTAGACTCCTGGTTCTAGGATGGGTTAAATGCAGAGGCCAAATTTCTCTGTGTGCTCTGCATGTGAGAACATTAGAGAGGGTTTCATCCCTCCCATTCTTCTTCTTCAATACACATTAATACATCCTCACAGTCATTTATACTTGGGTGTGTGTGTGTGTGTGTGTGTGTGTGTGTGTGTGTGTGTGTGTGTGTGGGATAAGTATGTGAGTGTGTGTGAGTGTGTGGGATGAGTGAGAGTGAGTGTGTGTGTGTGTGTGTGTGTGTGTGTGTGTGTGTGTGATAAGTATGTGAGTGTGTGTGAGTGTGTGGGATGAGTGAGAGTGAGAGTGTGTGTGTGTGTGTGTGTGTGTGAGAGTGTGTGGGATGAGTTTGAGTGAGAGTGGTGTGTGTGTGGTGTGTGTGTGTGTGTGTGTGTGTGTGGTGTGTGTGTGTGTGTGGTGTGTGTGTGTGTGTGTGTGTGTGTGTGTGTGTGTGTGTGTGTGTGTGTGTGTGTGTGTGTGTGTGGGCTGAGGTGTGTGTGTGTGTTCCCTGCTCTTGTATTTGTTCAGAGCCTCCAGCAGGTGCTGCCCCCTCTCTGCAGGAGGAGTGTTGGACAGCTGCAGAAAGACGGGTTATTAACTCTTAGTTCTGGAGGTTCTGGTAGGGTCTGGTGGTTCTGTTAGGGTCTGGTTAGTTTTGTTAGGGTCTGGTTAGTTCTGGTGGCTCTGGTGGTTCTGTTAGGGTCTGGTGGTTCTGTTAGGGTCTGGTTAGTTATGTTAGGGTCTGGTTAGTTCTGGTGGGTCTGCTAGGGTCTGGCGGTTCTGTTAGGGTCTGGCGTTTCTGTTAGGGTCTGGTTAGTTCTGGCGGTTCTGTTAGGGTCTGGTTCGTTCTGTTAGGGTCTGGTTCGTTCTGGTGGTTCTGTTAGGGTCTGGTTAGTTATGTTAGGGTCTGGTTCGTTCTGTTAGGGTCTGGTTCGTTCTGTTAGGGTCTAGTTAGTTCTGGTGGGTCTGCTAGGGTCTGGTGGTTCTGGTAGGGTCTGGTGGTTCTGTTAGGGTCTGGTTAGTTATGGTGGTCTGTTAGGGTCTGGTGGTTCTGTTAGGGTCTGGTGGTTCTGTTGGTTCTGTTAGGGTCTGGTTAGTTATGGTGGTCTGTTAGGGTCTGGTGGTTCTGGTTAGTTCTGGTGGTTCTGGTGGTCTGTTAGTTCTGTTAGGGTCTGGTGTTCTGTTAGGGTCTGGTGGTTCTGGTTAGTTCTGTTAGGGTCTGGTGGTTCTGTTAGGGTCTGGTTAGTTCTGGTGGTCTGTTAGGGTCTGGTGGTTCTGGTTAGTTCTGTTAGGGTCTGGTGGTTCTGTTAGGGTCTGGTTAGTTCTGGTGGTCTGTTAGGGTCTGGTGGTTCTGGTTAGTTCTGGTGGTTCTGGTGGTCTGTTAGTTCTGTTAGGGTCTGGTGTTCTGTTAGGGTCTGGTGGTTCTGGTTAGTTCTGTTAGGGTCTGGTGGTTCTGTTAGGGTCTGGTTAGTTCTGGTGGTCTGTTAGGGTCTGGTGGTTCTGGTTAGTTCTGTTAGGGTCTGGTGGTTCTGTTAGGGTCTGGTTAGTTCTGGTGGTCTGTTAGGGTCTGGTGGTTCTGGTTAGTTCTGGTGGTTTTGGTGGTTCTGTTAGGGTCTGGTTAGTTATGGTGGTCTGTTAGGGCAGTGGTTCCCAAACCTTTTGTGCCCAAGGCACACCAAAGGACAAGTAAAAATCTCAAGAGGCACACCTATTGTTGCAAAAATAGCCCTTATAACACGTGTTATCACTCATATCATGTAAAAATATCTGTAAATGTGCATAATTATTTACTAATGCCAAATAAAATGTGACAAAGACAACTATATTACTCATGAAATATTTATTAACGAAATATTTCAGAAATTAATTTGAAACTTTATCAAATTAGGCTTCATCAAAGCAGCAACACACTCATTTAAACCAGACAGGTCACAACATTAAAAATTGTGGAGGATCAGGCTTTGGTGGTCGGCTCCCATCTCGGCGCACAGCTGGGAAAAGAGGCGAGATTTCAGGGGCCTTGATTTGATGTAATTCACCATCTGCACAGCCTGATTCAGCACCTCAGTCAACTCCGGGGGCATGGGGGGCAACTAATGCCTCTCTATGCAAAATGCAGTGGTTTGTCACGATATGTGGGTTTTGTGCTCTCACCTTAGCAATACATCCTTTCACTCTCCCCGTCATGCTTGCTGCACCATCTGTGCAAAGACTGACGCACATATTCCAGGTCAGACTGTTCTCTTTTAAATAGTTATTAGTTACCCTGAATATTTCTTCTCCCGTAGTATGGCTTTCCATTTCTTTGCAGAAGAAAAACGTCTCTTTGATAGAGTCAGCATTAGGGATGCCAGCGATTATTTGATTTTTCGAATATTCGTTACAGTCTCCATAATCGAAAATTATTTTTAAAATTCGATTTTATTTATATATATTTTTATTATTATTTATGTTTTTCTTTTCTTTTTTCTGGCTTAGTTTCAACCAAAATATAGACTAATGCTAATAGTAATAGTATTAATAATTGTAAATGGCCATTGGTCACACCACCAGTTTGTTTTACTGTAAACTTGGAGGAAGAGTGCAGACTGCTGCTGCCTGCTGCAGCCTGCTACACACCGACCCCCCTCTCTCCGTCACACGTGCAATTGGCGATATACAGAACAGTGAGAACAACACAACTAAAGATGAACAAAGCGCCACGTTCAAAGAAGAGAAGTGACAAGTGCAAATGAAGTAAAATGCAAGCTCTGTGAAAATTGCTCTGCGGATTGCTTTTCAACGGGACATTAAGAACTGTACGTGTTAATTCTCACTGAGACTTGGCTCAACCCACCCCCGCTATCTCCCGGACTCCGCTATTGTCCCTGATGGATTCTCTATTTTTCGTCAGGACCGGACTGCTAACTCGGGGAAAAGTAAGGGAGGCGGTGTGTGTGTAATGACTAACAACAACTGGTGCTCAGATGTGAGGATTATTTCTTCGGACTGTTCCGCACAGCTAGAGCACCTCATGATCTCATGTCGGGCCTTCCATCTGCCGAGGGAATTCACATCTGTTGTGATAACAGCAGTGTATATTCCCGCCGCAGCCACTCGCCGACAACAACACGGCACTCGATCAGCTGTTTGGGTTTATTGATAAAACCGAGACTTCACGGCCAGATGCGGCGTTCGTTGTGGCCGGAGATTTCAACACCGCCAACATGAAGAAGGTTTTGCCAAAATATTACCAACACATCAACTTCCCGACGCGCGGGGGAAACATACTGGACCATGTTATTCCCCTTTCCGGAATGGATATAAGGCTCTCCCTCGCCCTCCCTTCGGCAAATCAGACCATATCTCACTACTGTTGTTGCCTGCTTACAAGCAGAAACTTAAAAGGGACAGACCGATAACAAGGACAGTACAACGATGGAGCGAGGAGTCAGATTCAGCACTGCAGGATTGCTTTGCATCTACGGATTGGAGTGTGTTTGAGGACAATAACATCAACACACACACGGACACTGTCATCTGCTACATTGGGAAATGCATCGATGACGTGGTACCGAAGGTTTCTGTACGGACATTCCCAAATCAAAAGCCCTGGGTAAACGGTGAGGTGCGCGGCAAACTGAAAGCGCGCACTCTCGCGCACACAGCGGGAGATTTGGAGGAGTACAGGAAGTCTAGGTAATGATCTCCGGAGAGCAATTCAAAATGCAAAGAGACAGTACAAAGAGAAGGTGGAATCTGACTTCAAAGGCTGTAACACTAGGAATATGTGGGCGGGACTAAGGACAATGACTGACTACAAAGGAGCAGCGGGGGGTGCTGCGGGAGTGTCTGCGTGCGCATCTCTCCCAGATGAGCTAAACAGTTTTTTTTGCAACGCTTTGAGAGCAGCCAGGCTGTGGAGGTACAGAGGGACCAGGAGCTACCCTGCCCTTTGTTTTAAACAGGGCAGATGTGGGTGTAAATCCTTTAAAAAGGGTTAACCCACACAAGGCTCCTGGACCTGATGGCATCCCTGGCCGTGTTCTCAGGGTGTGTGCAGTTCAGCTGGCAGAGGTGTTCACAGACATCTTCAACAGGTCCCTGCTGCAGTCTGTAGTCCCCACATGTCTTAAACACTCTACCATCATTCCTGTCCCCAAAAAGACAATCATCACCTGCCCCAACGACTACCGCCCAGTAGCACTCACCTCCATCATAATGAAGTGCTTTGAGCGGTTAGTCAAATTATTCATCACCTCCTCCCTCCCTGACTCTCTGGACCCCCTGCAGTTTGCCTACAGAGCAAACAGGTCCACACTGCCCTCTCACACCTGGACCCGAAGAACAGGAACACATATGTGAGAATGCTGTTCATTGACTACAGTTCAGCATTCAATACCATTGTGCCCTCCAAGCTGGCCATCAAGCTCAGAGACCTCGGGCTCAACAGCGCCCTCTGCGACTGGATCCTGAACTTCCTGACGGGCAGACCCCAGGCAGTGCGGGTGGGGAAACATCACATCCTCCACCCTGATTCTCAACACCGGTGCCCCTCAAGGCTGCGTGCTCAGCCCTCTCCTCTACTCCCTGTTCACCCACGACTGCGTGGCCACACACAGCTCCAACACCATCGTGAAGTTTGCTGATGACACGACCGTCATCGGCCAGATCACAGACGATGACGAGACGGCGTACAGAGAGGAGGTCGAAAACCTGACATGTTGGTGCCAGGAGAACAACCTCCATCTCAACATCAGCAAAACAAGGAGCTGATTGTGGACTACAGGAAGCAGCAGGGAGAGGGACACGCCCCCATCGCCATCAATGGGACTAACGGTGGAGAGAGTCAAAAGCTTCAGGTTCCTTGGGGTCCACATCACTGAGGACCTGACATGGTCTCTTCACACCACCACCATCACCAAGAAAGCTCGACAGCGGCTCTTCTTCCTCCGCAGGCTGAGGAGGTTCAAAATGGATTCCAGGATACTCTGCAACTTCTACAGGTGCACGATAGAGAGTATCCTCACTGGCAGCATGACGGCCTGGTACGGCAGCTGCACCGACCTCGATCGTAAGGCTTTACAGAGGGTGGTGAAAACTGCACAGCACATCACCAGGACGGAGCTGCCATCCATGGAGGACCTTTACTCCCAGCGGCTCAAGAAGAAATCACTACGGATTATCAAAGACCCCCATCACCCCAGCCACAAACTGTTCTTTCTGTTGCCGTCTGGCAGACGTTACCGCAGCATCCGGGCAAGGACAAGAAGATTCGGAGACAGTTTCTTCCCGCGGGCAGTGAGACTGTTAAACAATTGAACTGCTGAAATAACTTCAAACATTCAACTGCTACTCAGTAGTATGTATCTAATACCTAATATATATATATCATTCCAATAACTTGTATATAGACTCATACTGCACTATTCCACATCATAACTTTATTTCATTTTATAACTATTATTATTTTTGTATTGCTCATGCTCTTATTGTTATTATGTTATGTTATTATGTTGCATTGTTGGAGAAGCCTGTGACATAAGATTTTCAACTGCATAATTACTCTGTAGCTATGTCAGATTGACAATAAAGAACCTTGAACCTTGAACCTTGAATACTTTTTTTTCTCTCCCGCGGGGGGGGTGCGGCGAATAATCGAGTAATATTCGCCAGGGCTGTCCGATTTTCGAATTTGAAAATCAGTTTCTGGCATCCCTAGTCAGCATCAACATATCTGACGTTTGCCAGAAGTTGGGCAGCCCCACTTATGTCAGTAAGTTCGTCTATTTGTAGGGACAATCTGCCGCTCGCCTGCAGTGACACAAGACAGGTAACTTTCATGATACTGTCTGCTGACAGTTTTGTTTCCTCTTTTCTTTCGGTGGGTGGGTTGTCGGCAGTCTCTGGTGGTTGGTGGTTTGCTCCGCACAAGAAAGCGCTCCATTTTCCCTCTTGCGTGTTTCTGTTTTAATGTTGTCCTTCAGCCTTCGATGTGTCACGGTCTTATAATTCCCACCTGCAACTGCGTTAACAGCGAAATATGGGGTTCTGTGAGGATTTTTTTTAAAAGAATAGTTTTTAGGTATAGAGTTTGCCTCTGTATTATGAAATGAGTGCATACAAAGTACTGATATAGTAAATTAAAAAATAATTATTTTTGTGTAGTTGTATATTGCAATAATAACGTATGGTTGTCACAAAATCCTACGGCACACCCGGACTTGCCTCACGGCACACCAGTGTGCCGCGGCACACCGTTTGGGAACCACTGTGTTAGGGTATGGTGGTCTGTTAGGGTATGGTGGGTCTGTTAGGGTATGGTGGGGTCTGTTAGGGTATGGTGGGTCTGTTAGGGTATGGTGGGTCTGTTAGGGTATGGTGGGTCTGTTAGGGTATGGTGGGTCTGTTAGGGTATGGTGGGTCTGTTAGGGTATGGTGGGTCTGTTAGGGTATGGTGGGTCTGTTAGGGTATGGTGGGTCTGTTAGGGTATGGTGGGTCTGTTAGGGTATGGTGGTCTGTTAGGGTATGGTGGTCTGTTAGGGTATGGTGGTCTGTTATGGGGGTGTTCGGGTATGGTGGGTCTGTTAGGGTATGGTGGGTCTGTTAGGGTATGGTGGGTCTGTTAGGGTATGGTGGTCTGTTAGGGTATGGTGGGTCTGTTAGGGTATGGTGGGTCTGTTAGGGTATGGTGGGTCTGTTAGGGTATGGTTGGTCTGTTAGGGTATGGTGGGTCCTGTTAGGGTATGGTGGGTCTGTTAGGGTATGGTGGGTCTGTTAGGGTCTGGTGGTCTGTTAGGGTATGGTGGGTCTGTTAGGGTATGTGGGTCTGTTAGGGGTGGGTCTGTTAGGGTATGGGTGGGTCTGTTAGGGGTATGGTGGGTCTGTTAGGGTATGGTGGGTCTGTTAGGGTATGGTGGGTCTTTTAGGGTATGGTGGGGTCTGTTAGGGTATGGTGGGTCTGTTAGGGTATGGTGGGTCTGTTAGGGGGTATGGTTGGTCTGTTAGGGTATGGTGGTCTGTTTAGGGTATGGTGGGTCTGTTAGGGTATGGGTGGGTCTGTTAGGGTATGGTGTGTCTGTTAGGGTATGGGTGGTCTGTTGGGTATGGGTGGTCTGTTTAGGGTATGGTGGTCTGTTAGGGTATGGTGGGCTGTTAGGGTATGGTGGTCCTGTTAGGGTATGGTGGTCTGTTAGGGGTATGGTGGGTCTGTTAGGGTATGGTGGTCTGTTAGGGGTATGGTGGTCTGTTAGGTATGGTGGTCTGTTAGGGTATGGTGGTCTGTTAGGGTATGGTGGTTCTGGTGGTTCTGTTCTACCTTGCCCAGCTGCAGGTGATCCCAGTGCTGTTTGATGAAGACCAGGATCTCTTCCAGCTCAAAGTACTTCTTCTTGCTGCTGAGAGACAGGGTTGTAGAGGACCAGCTGGACCAGGGTCCACCCAGCGGAGGGGGAGGGCGCGCACACACTCTGAGCCCCGCCACACACTGCACAGGACAGGTAGAACCTACACACACACACACACACACACTTTTGATCACTATTGATATAAATAAGTAGACGGATGAATGTTCATCGGGTCACTTAGCAGAGCTCAGGTGTTTAGCAGTCTATGACAGCAGCTCTCAGGTGGATCAACACCTGGGCTGCAGGTAGCAGACCATCATCAGTGACATCATAAAGAAATATAACAACAAGTAGTCAGATTAGCTTCTGTTGCTATGCTAACACCACCATCTGATAACCAGAACCAGAACCACATTAATACACCTGTCTCCCCCTCACCTGTCTCCCCTCACATTTCCCCATCTCACCTGTCTCCAAACAACATGTCCTCCTGTAGACAACTGGGTACAGGCCTCATGGAACCACTGCTGACACCTGAAGCCTGCAGCATCCTCAGGGACCACCTGGGGGGGGGACAGTGAGACAGTGAGAGGGAGACAGGTGAGAGGGAGACAAGTGAGAGGGAGACAGGTTGAGAGGTGTTCAGGTGAGGTGTTCAGGTGAGAGAGAGACAGGTGTTCAGGTGAGAGGTGTTCAGGTGAGAGGTGTTCAGGTGAGAGGTGTTCAGGTGAGAGTGTTTCAGGTGAGAGGTTTTCAGGTGAGGGTGTTCAGGTGAGAGGTGACAGGTGTTCAGGTGAAGGTGACGGTGTTCAGGTGAGAGGTACATGTGTTCAGGTGAGAGGTGACAGGTGTTCAGGTGAGAGGTGACAGGTGTTCAGGTGAGAGGTGTTCAG